TTCTGAAGATAATTTTAGAATAAACCGGAATATATTTTTAATAAAAACATTATTAATTATTAACAGGGTTATAATTATGATTTTGTTACAATGTAAGTAAGTAAATAATGTAATGTAAAAGAAAAAATTCAGATTTTACATTTTACTAAAATATTATCTAAATAAGCGCCTTTCTACAACAACGCCACTGACTCCTAATGGGTAAATTGAGAGTTGCCTACCGGTCGAAAGTCGTTTCAAGGCTTAAATGGATTATTTAAGTCAAATTTCTTGCAAATTTGGCACTGGCGAACCATATTTTATAGTTTTTGAACAGAAAAAGTCAATAAAATAAACACTTAAGGACTACAGGCTAAGAAAATGCGTTAATACAGCCGGGGAGATAGCGGCAACAAAGCTTTACCGCACACGTGCAACACGTACTGCAAGGTAATAAATGAATGAATAGGCTCCCTCGCCTCTAATCGGTGTTATCATATTGTAAAGAACTTATCCTTATTAAACAGTATCCGACTTATAATTTAGTAGTATAAGGACTATTTAATACATCTATGGAATATTAAAACCTACTTTATTAAACTGTAGTATTAATATCTCAATATATGTGTATAACAAGAAAAAAAAATATTGATAATATTAAAGACGTGACAACATAGGCTGGATGAGGAAGGCTCGGTCGACTGTACCCAGAAGTAAACATGTGTACAAAAAAGGTTGTTTGTCCGCGTTGAGATGTAAATAGTGTAGTCTATATTTTATTTTAAGTCTATGCTTCATCCGCAAAGCGTGTTTCGCTTAGAGCGGCAACATCTATATTTAATCGGTGGAGTTCCTGTGAGACCAGTGCTATTTTTCTCTCTGGTAGATTTGAGTTTATCTTTTCCAGTAGAGTGCGGACGTTCCACGCCGTAGTAGCATTTATAGTAACTTTGTATACTTCTATCTTTGTAACATGTAGGACTTATAGTAACTTTTACCCTTAAAATTTCATTCAAATCACTAAAAGTACTTGAAAGAAAATTATAATAAATCGAAACATTATTAAGACTTTAACACCCTGTAGCTACGAAACAAAGCAGAATCGGACCTACGTTGATATGAAAAATAAATCTTATTTTTACGTGAGCAATCTCTTCCGCTAGAGATGGCACATATTTTTTAAAACACCCTGTATAATGACAAATAATTATTTTGAATAGTTTGATATTTATAATAAGTAAAAACAAAATAAAATTTAAAACTACGACAGAATTACTATGACTAGTAACTAGAGGTGTTGAAAAAGTAACTATTCGTTACTCGAGTACTCGTTACTTATCGATACCCGTAGTAACGAGTAACGAATTTATAATCATATGATTACTTTGATTACTTTGACAACTATAACTACTTATAGTACCGTATGATCAAAAAAAAAACGGCGTCAGCGATGGCTATGAAATGAAGATCGCTGTCATTTAATATGTAAATTTATATGGGAAATGTCATCTATAGCCATTTCCCAGCCAACTGGACGCCTTTTTTTCGATCATACGGTATTTATCATTTAATTTATCCTATCGTACTTATATGTATACTTAATATGTATAGTATTGTATCGTAAATGTAATCAAAATGCGAATTCTATGAAAACATAAAAGGTGGCTAAGGAATGATAAGGGAGTGAAATTAGGGATAGGTTTGCATAAAAATTTGTTAAAATCTGTTCTAGGAGTATGAAATTTTGCGTAGACGTTCCTTAGGTAACGTAATTGAGCACTAAGGCGCTATTTTTAGAAATTCACCTTTTGAAGATGCGAGATGAGGAGGGGTAAATGTCCAGAATTTTTTTTACGGGTATGAAAATTTGCGCAGAAGTCCCTTAAGTGATAAAAGTAAGTACTAAGAAGCGGTATTTGGAAATTCATCCCCTAAGAGAGTGAATTTTGGGGTGAAATTTTGTGCAAGTGAATTTTTGAATATTTTTTTACAAAAAATGTAACGGTTCTAGAAGTATTAAATTTACACATAGAGGTCCATTAAATTGACAACTTGTTTGAGTGCGCAACGTGAGTGCTAAGAATCTATTTTTGAAAAGATATCCCTTAAGCAGGTGAAATTAAACACAAAGGTTCTTTAATAGCAGTACCAAAATCAGTACAAAGTAATCATAGTAATCAAAGTAACGAATATTTGAAATGATTACTTAATAGTCGAGTAACGATTAATAACGACTAATCAAAAATAACTAAAATCAACATCATTACTAGTAACAGTAAAGTGAACTAATGAAAAAATAAGTGTTCACACTTTTCACTGAGCCTTCATTCTGAAAAATGATTCTTTCATCAAATGTTGGTCGGAAGTCAAATTGTTTCATTCTTCATATATCGTATACTTGAGAATTACAGGCAATGTACACTTTATTATTTATATTGATTATTATTTATCATTAAAAATGGCAAATGTAAATGATCCTTAAGCAATTTTTGAAGCATTTTAAAAGGTTTGTTATTGTACCACCTGTGTATTAGATTACAAAATAAAGGCTATTAAGACAGAAAAAAAGCATTATTGTAATATACTAAGACAAAACAGATAAACATTGCTAAGTCATATATCTAAAGCGTTTTTTAACAAAAGTTTAATTACTAACCAATGACCAAGGTATTTTGTCGAAATACAATGAAAATTTACGTGAAACCGGGAATATGACTGGTCACTGGAATTTTCAAACGATAGTGATTAACCACCAATATGTCATTTCTCAATCGTTTTTACCAAAATAAGTAATAATTCCTAAAAGTTTAGTCATATACACTGAGAAAAATGGATTAATAACTATGTAATTGTGTGAAATTGTAACGAAAATATTTGATTTTTCTCTGTCCTAAGTCCTGAGAAATTTCTTCTAGTGTCTCATTCCAGATTACGGATGGAGTCTTCCAGAAGAGTCGGAATAAGCAAAAATTCAGAAGTAGCAAAATAAGCGTTCGGCATTTAACGTTTTATGTAAAACTGGCTAGATATTTTTACACAAATGAAGAAGGATATTAAATATAAAGGATTATACTATATCCGTATTGTACCACATTTTTAGAAAACTTCTTTATTTTTAAGGTTTTGATGGCCAAACATCCACAAAATATTCCTTTCGTTTGGACTAAATTTTCTCGAAAATAAAGACATAATTTAAGATTCCGTTAATATTCCGGTTTCCGCTTGGGAAGCAGAACGGTTCTGGTCCAGTTAATGCAGTTCGATTTTAGATTGATTGCTTTTTTAATACCTTCTACCTCGTGGTGGTCTGGCACCCAGAGTAGGAGGACTTCTTTTTGTCTAAAGAAATTGTACCATGCGATTCATAACGACAATTTGACTAGAAATACCAACAGTGTGTGGTACCAATAAATTATTCGTAAAAAAATGTTTTTTCCAAATATGTTAATGAGCCACCATCGTTCCATTTAAAAAAATTCAGATATGATTAAAAATACGATTTGGGCATCTTTTAACCGGCCAGGACAAGACACTAAAAACATTAAACTATCAAATTTATTTTTCCAAAGCTCCTTGATTAAAAATTACTGTTTTTAACACAGCCATGGCACTATAGATTTAAATTTAAAATGCGATGATTTTTAAACCGAATATGTCATCAAAAGTTGACAAATGATATGTCATTCTATTCAGAGTGTCATTTTTTATTGATTAAAGTATAAAAATACGGAGGGTGCTATTTCAAAATCAAAAGTTGTAGTCATTTCCGGTGAAACAGAAAATGACGGAAAACAATTGGATACGTCAATCAATGCTAATTTATGTCATATACTAACACACCAAATCTCGTTTTTTTTTTAATTTGAACAAATTAAAAGTTATAGGAATGAGCCACTTTTGAGACGCACCCGGTATTCAAAATAAATTTCAAGAAGATCTGATTAAAGAAAATGTCATATTTTTTATATTGTTTAATTGCAAATTGCAACGAATTTTTTAAATTGTTATTATTTTCGATGCATGTCACTTTTTCTTGGTGTAAATTCTAAAAGCCTATATCGCAATCTTATCATGACATACACCGTGATAAACCATAAATATGTTATTCATAAAAAGATACCCGTAATTGCTAGAGTTACTAGAGTTTGTTTAGTTTCGTTTTTTTTTGACAGAACACAACGTTGGTTTTTAGTTTCGGTAAGCTTACTTTTTTTAATATTGTCTGTTATTTATATACAAATTTATATGTCATATTTTTTAATATGTGAATAATTTAAAATATTTATTAATTTCTTTATTTTTTAAATTGATATCAGTTTTATATTTGAATAAGCTTTGAATAAACAAGCGGACAGACAGACAGACAGGCACCATGAAAATATTTTGTATTTAGGTCATTTATGACGCAAATAACTAATTTTGAGTGAAATTAAAAAAACTTTTTTTTTGCCGATCTTAATAGCCTACCATACCTATTGGTATGGTCGGCTAAAAATACCGGGGGTGTCATTTAAAAATCAAAAGTAGTCATTTCCGGTGAAACAGGAAGAAGCCGAAAACAACTGAATACGTCATTTTATTCTGTTTTTCTTTTTGTTGAGCTACTTTTGAGAAACACCCGGTATAATAAAGTCAATATTTAAGCATATATTTTAACTATATTTACACAGGACTCTGAAGTGAATGCAACCAAAAGTCAACAATCTTTCGATCAACAATCATAATATGTATTTTTTTATTTTATCAAATGCAATTCATAGAATTTCTCTCACAGATTACATTGACCTCCTTATCTGTCACAATCTTGTAAGTTAAAATTATTTAAAAATACGAATACCTATATTATTTACATTTCAACAGAACATATTCTATCTCTAGCAACAATAGCCACAATAAGAATAATTTGAACGGTACTAAAATAAGAAGGTATTCTTATTTGGTATACATTTTTTGATAATGATCTAACAGATTCTCAATAACCCATGTAAGTTTTTTTTCTATTATTCTGTTTTACTTTTCAGTACGGAAGTCTGGCCAAAAAATGACTGACACCAAAGAAGTGGCCAATTTAAAGGATGCATCTGTTGAAGAACAAGGAGAATTTTTAAAATCGTTTGATACAATTTTATGTGATATTGATGGTAAGTCAAACATAAATAAATAATATCTTTGCTCATTTGAGATATGTTAATCTGTTAGTTTTATGGGCCCCCATGGGCCCCCCCTCTGTATCCGCCACTGTCATTTTATACGTAAAATTATATGGGAAATAAATGGGAAATGTCATCGATCGTCATTTCCAAAGACGCCGTTTTTTTTATCATACGGTCCCTCATAGACGTGTTTCTGGTTTTTCTTCATTTTTATTCGAAATATACTACCCCTAAAATATTTGCACTTATTTAAGACACACTCTGTAAATTTAAACTTAAAGAAATAAATAAACAACAGTTTTTAACAAGACCGTTGTTTCGTCAAGGTATACAATTTATAAAAAAAATATATAAAAAATACACCCACACAAAAAGGTACAAATATGGTTATACGACGCATAAATTTTAGGTGTGATATGGTCGACACTTTCATCCATAGATGGGGCTCCAGATGCTATAAAATCGTTAAGATCCATAGGAAAACAAGTATTTTTTGTAACTAACAATACAACAATACCGTTAGAGTTTCTTGTAAAACGGCTACAAGAGTTTGAGATGAAACAAAATGAAGTTTTGAGGTAAGAGAATATTCAGACTCTTTTATAGTCTCTATACTCTCAGAAAACGAGCATTTTTTCTGTCAAGTGTTATATATGATAAGAAAAAACAGCGTCAAGTTAGCTTAGAATATGATTAACTGGCGTTTCTTAGGTAACTTGACGCCGTTCTTTATCATCCGGTATGTATATGCAATCTAGAGGGGCACTTAGTGAGATTTTTCTATATTATAGGCCTGATCTAGCAATAATCTGGTATTTGAAGAGTATCAATTTTGACAAGGAAGTTTATATTGTAGGAGTAAAAGCATTGAAAGACACTATTAAAAAAAGTGGATTTAAAGTTCACGAAGACGAGGTAAGTTACTGTCACAGTTTGTTCATAACCAGCCTGTCGGCTTCCGATCGTTTATATGGAAATCTGCGTAACGACATGTAGATATTCCCTAATGGTTATATGTGTTGTGGATTCTTCTCCGTGTGGATAGAAAGTCACAATTTATTTAAACACAATTTATTTACACTAAATAACAAACAATAACGATTAAAAGACTTAGAGAACTATATACAAACTATTTATAACTATTTGTCTAGAAAGAATTTATTTTGAATTTAGCGCGACAACTGTAGTAGTGTATTTATTTCTGTCGTCTTCAGGCCCCAGCCGTCGGATTTTATACCCACAGCTAAAGATTTCTCGAATAATCCATAGATCATTAGGTGCATAGAGAAGGTTTGAAATGTTCTCGTATGTACTACTCCATACCAGTGGAACTCGATTCTTCTCGATCGTTCGAATGAATCATTACGGTGTCTATTCTGTAATGCGATATTAAGATCATCTGGGGGCGGGACATATGTCCTGGCTGTATAGTTAGGTTAGGTCGAGTCCACACGGGTCCGCAACAGTATGTATACGTCCACAATTAAAAAGAAGCTTCTACGTCCCTCTAGTCAACTCGCATACCCAACAATGTTGCTATTTGCTGTCGCCTTATTTTAAGAACGGCGGAAAGTAACGCCCAGCTATAGCAAATTTTTCAAGAGCAGCTGTGGATTCATTGGTAAGGCCGTCTCTTCGGGAACGAGAGGTCCCAAGATCGTGTCCCAATTCCAAAACAAGCCAAAACTTTATTTTTTATAACTGTTTTTATTTTTTTAAAAAGAGCTGTAAATATGTAATAGCAATCAAAATACGCCGTAAACGTGTTTTGATTGCATCGGTTAGTCTCTGGAATATTTTTTTTTGTTTAGATTGCATTAACCCGATCGATTATCGTTTATGTGCGTGCAAAACTGGGAAATTAGGAGACAATAATAATTGGGTATGCGACTTGACTAGTGGGACGTAGAAGCTAGTCAATTAATAAAATCCACAAGCATAAAGCATACTATACAAGGTGGTACACTCTTGGTACACTAGTGCGAGGAAGTCCATTATCGTTGATAAAAAAATATCTATACCTATGTGGCAGATTTATTTCTCCAAAAAATCCTATATGAGCATTTCGCCACTGCAAGAAAATCTACAAAACAAAATAGTTATTTTTTGTAAACACTTCTGCGTTAATCCAAACGGAAACTACTTGTCAGAAGTTAGGTTTACAGATATACAAATTTGCCTAACGAACAAAAAAATGCTTAACGTTTCGGAAAGTTTATCTCTTTCCATCTTCGGAAGCGAAAAAATACAAAGAATAAAGAAAAAAACTATTTAAAATATTTAAATTCAACTATTCGAGAACACTTTAGTTTTTTAAAACAGATACGTCTACAAAAACCGTTGACGATGTGTTAAAATGACATTATATCAAGTTAAACTTCAAAATTAACAATTACTACCTGATAACAATTACTTAATAAGGTAAGCCAAAAAGCCACAAACTTTCTGTATGATTATTTTTAATTTTTACGTATGTTATATTATTTATTTATGTTATGTTCTTTAAAAAAGCGATTGCGATACATTACTAACATCTACAGATACAAATATAATACAAAAAAAATACAATAGAGTTAAAAATCTATGTATAAACAGTTTAAATAAAGAAAATGTCTGTGTGTTTTTTAATTCCGCGCACCTAAAAGCAAAATTATATACAGGGTGTTGCTTTAAAAATAATTGAGATAAAGCATTTTAAATATTGCATTGTCATAAAAAATACCCTGCATAAGAAAATGTGAATTTTTCTTCATGGGTTTATTCCAAAGATATTATTAAACATCGTACTTAAAATTAGTCTAGTAATGCAGAATTTTATGATGAACTGAATTCTTTACAGAAAAATGTAGGTGCAATATGAAAAAACTTACAACTGCATCATTACTTTTTTGGGGAGACCATGTATACAACAAAATATTCTTATGCAAAATATTAGTATATGCACCTTTATAAACCATGTAACATGTACATAAAACTTTTTTCATCTCTTTGTCAACAACGACGATATTGGACATCCCCTCGCTAATGAGCCACCCGGTATATTTCTTTTTCTTTTTATAGGGTGATCAAGTTGAAGAGACTATCGCTGGAGTTATTAAAGCAATAAATAAACTAAATCCAAAGGTGGGTGCAGTCATTATGGATGCCGATTTGAACGTCTCCTTTGTCAAGTTACAAAGATGCGTGGAATACATAAAGAAAAATAACGCAATATTCTTAGTGGGGGGATGGGATCCAGTATTACCTTTTGCAGACACATTTTTAATAGGTAGGTATTTGTAGATTTGTTGAAATTGTCGATTTGTAGATGTTTTTGTTGCTGATCTATTGTGTCCCTCCTTTCTTGAGTTATAACTCATCATACAGGAAGAGAGATTTGGTTATATTAAATATAGGTTAATTCTCGAACTCCTATATTAGTTGTAGAGGTAGGAATTCTAGTTCCTTGGGAGGAACTAGAGTTCCTTGAACTAGGTCTCTAGTTCCCAATAGTTCCCGACTAACACTGACATCCCCGTTGCTTGCTAATGAGTTTCGTTGTCAGTCAGAACTATTCACAGTATGAACTGTATAATTTTTATAATGTACGAAATATAACGAGACGTGTAACTGCGTATGTTAAAAACATATAGGTAATAAGTGTTATTACAGATAAAAAAAGTTAAAAAAGAAACTCAAACCAGAGTTTAAAAAACCATATTTCCTCACTTAAATTTGTTTTTGTCTAGAAATTCAGAATATCTACTTCCTTTTATAAGATATTTCTTAATTTTAGGGACCTAAAGTGAAACATTCCCATAAAAGTTTCAAAGGACAAGCTAAAAATCAAAAACAGTATCCGCGACAATTTTCTGTGGTAATTACGCCGGTGGTGGCAATAGACAAGGCCGAATCCATCGTCGTGGCCTTGTTTTATATCTCGGATCTGCGGACTGAATAGATTTCCGTGAACTAGTATTTTAATTAGTTCCTCTCAATCCTTTCGGTCCGGGACAGATAACATACGTCTGGCACTCTCCACTCCCGCCTAGCATCGGGCTACGATCGCGCTGGCCGGTCCGTAGGTAAACTAGTCTTTTATTTAGTTCCTCTAGTTCCTCTAAGTCCAGATCAGACAATATACGGCTGGCACTCCCCACTCCTGCCTAGCATCGGGCTACGATCACGCTGACAGATCCGTCACCGTCTCGATCCCGGAATAGGTCCTGAGGAACTAGTTCTTTGAAAAACCGGAAACTAGTTCCTTTCATTCCGGGATCAGAATAGTTCATTGGAACTAGTTTGTTCACGAACTACACACCTCTAGAATCGGTATTTTTAATTAAGTATAGATCCACTTTATTCATTCATACTTTATTCATTCTTTCAAAACATAAATACAATTACATACACTGCATCTTGCTTGCAAAAGAACTGATATATTATACCGGGTGTCGCATCGTCGGACGGGACATAGGAAATCCCATGTAAATTTTAATGGGGTCAATTATTGGCTTCCCTAATTATTTTAGAGAATAATTCTATTTAGGTTTATCGAAGAGCACTAAAACCCACATTCAAAAGAATAACTTTAGATATTTTTTATTAGCTCGTTTACGAGTTATCGCCGATTTCTTTTTAAATATTTCTGCTTTCTTATATGGCCCTGTATTTACTTATGAGCACCAGTCAAGGTAAAAGATAACTGTCAAATGAACTTGTCATTTCAGAAATTTACCTATTTAGTGCTTTATTATTATTGAAAACTCATTCCTACATCGGAAATCTTAAAGATGTATTTATAAATACAAATTAATATGAATTAAGTAAAATAAATAATCAATTACAAGGTTAATTATAGTATTATTACAATATTCAATAACTTATTAATTTAGGTACTATTAAATTGTTAGAACATTAGGATTTAAGATGTTCAAATATTCCTCCATCGACTGCTAGACAATAACCGAGGCGATCATAAAATTCTATTCATACATTCGCTAGTTGGTAAACTGAAATTCTATTGCATTCGGCAGAAACAGCATTTTTTAACTCATCTAGATTTGAGTATTTTTTATCCTTGTATATCCTGTTTTTTAAATGGCCGAAGAGAAAGAAATCATTTGGCGAAATATCAGGAGATTTAGGCCAATAACGTTTCCGTTAAAACTATTTTCTAAATATTCCCGAACAGCCAGGGTACTATATGCCGGGCATCCATCCATTTGGTACCAAACTTCCTGATTTTCCCTAGCGGCATCATGTAAAGCAGGTAAAATATGACTGCTACTAATATATGATTTACTTTCTGTGGATATTGCGTCCTTGTTTCGACAAACCTGTATTGGTTTTCTTTGTTCCAATATCGATAATTTTGAACATTGGGTTCATTATTTAAGGTAAACGTGCATTCGTCAGTGAAACATATGTTTTTTAAAAATTCCCTATCCGTGTTTGCTCTTTCCATCCTATCAAAACAAAACGCCTACCGCCGTATTTCGTCCCCATCTCGTAGCTCTTGGTGTTTTTCATATTTGAAGGAATAGTATTTATGTCGTTTCAAAATTCGAAACGCTGTAGTGTGATCTATTCCTATTTCATCCTCAAGTTTCCTTGTGCTGATCTTTCCATCGTTCTCTTCCACGCACAATAAAACTTCCCAGTCGGTATCATTTCTTGCATCTTCTCTTTGTTCCTGCCTTGCTTCACATCTGCAGTTATTTATTAGGGTACCTGTGGTCTCAAATCTCTGGATATATCTTGCGATTGTAGATTTTCCAGGTATTGGTCTATTCGGATACAGAGCAGCAAACATGTCCGACACCTTTTGATAACTATTTCCTTGATAATACCATTTAATCATCAATACTTTTTCTTCGGTATTGTAATTCATGGCTAATATTTTCGATGTAGGTATGAGTTTTTAATAACAATAATAAAGCACTAAATAGAAAAATTTCTGAAATGACAATAAGTAAATATAGGGCCATAATAATAAGTAAATACAGGGCCATAAGAAAGGAGAAATATTTAAAAAGAAATCGGCGATAACTCGTAAACGGGCTAATCAAAAATATCTAAAGTTATTCTTTTGAATGTGGGTTTTAGTGCTCTTCAATAAACCTAAATAGAATTGTTCTCTAAAATAATTAGGGAAGCCAATAATTGACCCTATTAAAATTTACATGGGATTTCCTATGTCCCGCTCGACGATGCAACACCCGGTATATCGTTCTTCTAACCATTTCATTTTGCTATTCTCTAATCCTTAGTCATAATCCCTAATAATCAATCTCTAATCCATAATTCCTAATCTCTAATTAATTATCATTCCCGAATCCCTAGTTATTATTTTGTATGGATTGGTTACTTGGTTGCCTGACAAATTTGATATACTTAACAGATATATAACGAACTTTCTACTTTCAGAAGAAATTTATTTTTATTTATTTTAAGTCAAGCATTGTCATTTTTTTCTTTTATATAACTTGTCTTTTAATGGTAGGCCCAAAATACTTTATTCAGGCTGTGGAAGATCTATCTGGGAAAAAACCTTTGACTCTGGCCAAACCACACGATGTTTTTCACGATTTCGTGGAAGAAAGCATCAAAGATCTTCATCCAGAAAGAGTTCTATTTATTGGAGATTCGTAAGTTTTTATTCTTTGTGATTTATGTTAATTTTAACTATTTTTATTTATTACTGAATTAATATAAGCTTATATCGTCTTGGTTACGCTAACCATAAATAGAGCCATAACTCTCTTGGCTACTAACTTCTTAATATACCTATAACTATTTTTTTTTCTCTATTTCTAGGGTATTGACTGACATGACATACGCCCAAAAATTTGGACATAAAAAACTGTTGCCACTGACAGGTTGCACCTCAAAGGAAGAAGTAACAAATTGGAAATTTGAGGAGAATTTAAAACCAGATTACTATGTAGACAGTTTAAGGGATGTACATATTATAATTCAAGAATTGAAGAAGAAAAATGTATTATAAATTTTAGATGTAGCCTTTGTTAAATAACTTAATTTAAAAATATATTTTTTATATTTTATTTTTCCTAGAATGTTTAATAAATTAATATAAAATTACGTGATATATGTTCCTTAATATACAGGGTGGTCCAAATTGTACTGGGGGAACTTTAACAGCATATTCTATAGATAAAAATAATTCAAAAAGTTGGTATAAATTTATGTCCTAAAATGCTTCGTTTTGGAGATACAGGGTGTAAAAATTTCATATTTATTTCGATTTTTTCTTTAGTCCCTATTATTCTTACTTCTTAATTTTACGTGAGGTATCCCCACGAGAAATGGCACATGTTTTTTGAAACACACTGTATAATAATATGTACTATGTTATATACCGTATGATTGAAAAAAAACGACATCCAGTTGGCTGGGAAATGACGATGGAGGACATTTCCCATATAAATTTACATATAAAATGACAGCGATCTTTATTTCACAGCCATCGCTAACGCCGTTTTTTTTTCGATCATTTTGTACTACAGTGGTCTAATTACGCGATATTTTTAAGTTTAAAACAAAAGAACCGTCAAGAAACTTTTAATACTTTCTGACCTCCCCCTGTAGACCAAGACTCGAATTTGGCGGCTACTGATTAGAATTTCTACGCAGCGTTTCTTACCTCTATATCTCTGTTTCAACATTGGTTTCAGTTAGTTATTCTATGGTTTCTACTATGTTATAATCTGTTTTACTGGTTGCAGAACATGTATAATTAATATTGTTTAAAATAAAATAGAAAAATAGCTGGGTAATAATTTTTTATCAGTAAAATTTAAGAGTCTTAAGACTTATTGCAATATTAGCATATTGCATGGTAGCGACAACAGAGGTATTATATATTGTATAAAATTTCCAGTTTATGATAAATATTTGTCCCTTTTCTCTAATGGTAATATTGAAAAATGCTGACAACTGAAAAACAGAAAAAGATGTCAATGTCAACTTCAGACTTCAGCTCGAAGAAAGAAAATTATGTTAATTAATTATGGAATTTACGTCATTTCTTATGCTTCTTTGACCCCATTTTTCGTGCGTGGTTAATACAGAAAGAAAACTAGTTTAAAAAAGAATTCGAAACAATGCAACCGCCCGATACAAAAAGTGCGAAACCCGAAGAGGAGCCTGAAGAAGGCGAAATCTTGTCGGACGATCTGGAAGACATTTCCGACGATTCGATAATTTGTGCCCCCATCCATAACGGTAAGTCCCTTTCTCCCACAGATCACTTACAAGATTTGTCTTTAAGTAGTGTCACGGAGCATGAAGATTTCGTGCTCGAGGAGGAGCCCCCGCGGAAGAAACGAAGGACTTGCATTCGCAAACGTAACATGCATCGTCACAAGCGAACCCGAAGAAAAACCATGGATTCCGAGTCCAGCGATGACGATAATGAGCTGAATAGCACGTTTAAATACCAGCTAAAAGCTGCTATTCGAGTGGAAGTTGATGATGCTCAAAAAAACACCTTGTTAGAACGACTACGACCCATGATAAAAAAATCTAACCCGGCAGATGATGATGTTCCTTCAGAAATTAAGTCTGATATTTTAATATCAAGTGATGAGAAACTTGAAGAAGTAAGAATTAGTGAGAACTCTAATAGTTCTGATATACAGATTATACCTGAACCATCTCCGAAAAAAGATGATGATAACGATAATGAACTGATACATTTAAGAATTGCGGCTCTTAAAACAGCAATCACGAATAAAGTAGCTAAAGGAAAAATGCGAAAAAAAGAGGAAAATAAAGAAAACACCGATATAAACAATGAAGAAATACAACCGAGTGAGACTGCTGTTAGTGACGTTAATAGTGATACCCCCATGTCACCTAGCACTGTTAGTGATACACCCCATGTTATCCCACCTTCACCCGAAGAGGACGAAGATGTTTTAAGAGCGCTATTACTAGCTTCCATGTCCAATAAAATAACTAACGTTCCAGCTGAACTACCCAAGTCAGTTTTGCCAAAAGTACAAGCACAGTTAAACAATAATAGGACTAGTAAGCTATTAAATAATAATCTTAAAACTAAGAGTGTTAGTAATTTTAAGGTTAATAATGTTAAAAGTGTCGCTAGCCTAGTTGGAATCCCCCAAGTTAAACCGCTTATTATTAAGGTTGATTCTGAGTCAGACTCGGACATGGACATTAGCAGTGGTAGCCCCGAGAAACCTACACCAGATAGTACACCAAAAGAAGATGAAATTGTTACAGAGGTTAATAATAAAATACAAACTACGGTAGAACAATTTCTTAAAGAACAAAGAGCTAAGGTTGAGTCTGAAATAAAATCTACTGAAAACGAAGAAAAAGATTCGAAATCTACAGATTTACCTAAAATTTCTGAAGGTTTAAAGAGGGCTAATAATCAAAAAGAAATAACAACTAATAATAATGTTAATAAAGTCAAGAAAATCATCTTTGCACCACAAAGCAACAATTTAGTTCAAAAAAAGGACGTTCCAGTTACTAAAAAAAAATTAGACAAGTCAGCCTTAAAACTGTTACCAGCAAACAAGCAAGAAGAATACAGAAAGCTTCTGTTGAAACTTCAGAAAGCAGAAACCCTTAAAAAGCCTCGTGTAAGGAAGGTTTCTCAAAAAATTACTGCTGTGATAAATAAAAGTATTAATGAGGGTCTAAATAACTGTGCTTCTGGGATTTTGAATAAGGTTTCTGTAGTACCAGCAATGCTTCTCAATAAAGTGAAGTTTGTGACGAATAAATCGGTGAATAATGTTGCTTCTGCTGTGGCGAATTGTCAGAAGAATGAAGGGGGCAATGTGGAGACCAAGGGGCCAGATAAGAAGGCTGAGACTCTGTTGCTTCATAATACACTGAAAGCGATTCAAGTCAGGAAAGACGGCAGGTACTTCAATTACAGTATATTGTTTTTGTTTTTGCTCCATTTTTCTATTAAATGTAATTATTAAAATAGGTATAGAAATAATTTTCAGGGTGGCTACAGATGTAAAAGACCTAGAAAAATCTGAGAATTTTAAAAAGCATCAATAAATTGAGTTTGTTTTAAGTTTAAAAGTATATTAAGTACCTAATTTTTAAAATATTTCAACTCTTATATTTTTTATTCAAATTGGTCTACCTCTAGTATTCCAAAAAACAAGAGATTTTTGTTCAATTTTTTTACAAAATATCCGAACAATCGTAGAGCACATTTTAAAAATATTTGTGCAGATATACAGGGTGATAATGTAATGTATTTTTATACCAGAGTTTTATTTTGAATTATATTTTATTTGCTCAATAAATTAGGCATTAAATTTTACATTTAAAAAAAACATAATGTTATAATCTCTATCTACAGGGTTGTTCACCATATACAACACGGAGTAACGGTATAACATAAAAATTTATATAGTTTTCTTTTTGTATACAAATGGGCTACTAAAATTGTCGTTTTTAGCACCATTTTGTACATTTGTTCCTTTAAAAACACTCTTAAATGTCAATATTCCATGGATATATTGATAAATGAGGTCTAAATTTTAAGAAAATGCATTTTCTACGAAAACTTGACGGGATAGATAAAAAATGGTATAATACGATTTGACAGACAATTAAATTGTGCATTTGACTCTTCTAAAATATACAGGGTGTTTCATTTAAATTAAACAAATTATTGCCGTTTAAAGGTAGAAATTATTTAAAATAAATTTTTAGACACTCTGTATGAGGTAGAATTATTTTTATTATTGCAATACAATAACTGATCAACAAACAAACTTCATAAATATTTAGTATTAAAAACTTTGATACCTTTGGAGAAATAAAGCCTTAAAATTTGTACTGCATTTTCACAAGATTGAAAATATTACAAAAACGGTAAGGTTTAAGTGTCATAAACCTTAATCAAATTTACCTTTATTTTAATCGTAGAAACTAAAAATATAATAATATACAGGGTGTTCCATTAAAAAAAATACAACTTTGATATTTTTTATTTATTTGGGATACTCTGTATCTTGCAAAAATATTTTTAAATTGTAGCTCTAATAGTCCTTCAACGAACCCAAAACTCACAATTTGTAAAAATCTAATATTTACCTACAATACTCCGTGTCGTATGTGGTGAACAACCCTGTATAGTGGTTTCTGAAATATTACAATTTTTAGAATCAAGTTTCTATACTTTTAGCTCTTTAAAAAATCCTAAAATTATTTTTACCTTTTATATGAAAGTATTTTGTGATAATATCTTCGTTAAATTTTAAATCCAGTCATACTAAAATATATGACGGTTAAAAACCGAACCGCGTCAAGATACCTTAAAAATGTTGATCAATTACATTCACAATTTAATTTTACATATTAAATGACAGCGATCTTCAGTTCCAAGCCATCTCTGACACTTTTTTTTTTCAATCCTATAGTATATTATTGTGATTTATTGCTTAGTATATACAGGGTGAATCAAAACTAGATATATTTTTGCTCGCTACTTCAAATGGAACACGTTATACCCCTATTTTATACCATAAACCAAAGCAGCTGACTACTGGGTATTTTTTTAACAAAGACACTTTAAATCAAAATATATACATTTTTCTGTGGCCACCCTGATTTTCTATGGCTTGGGATTGGTTTTGTATATAGAATATACTTTTCAATTTTGAGCTTTTCTGATGGGACATTATAATATAATTTTTAATAAATGGTATAAGACGCTACTATCAACATCCCAAGATCAGTCTAAAAAATGTCGGTATAAATATATGTCTTAATTTGAATTTAAACTCAAGAGAATTTTAATTTTTTCTTATATTTTTTTTCATTGGCAATTGACAGGTAGGTCATCTGGTGAAATTATGGTTAAAAAAATAAAACTTTAAATTTTTATTAGTGGTCAGTATAAGGGAAAATGTATAGATCATAGACTTAAAATAAAATATAGACTACACTATTTACATCTAAACGCGGTCAAACAATCTTTTTGTACACATGTTTACTTCTGGGTACAGTCGACCGAGCCTTCCTCATCCAGCCTATGTGTCACATCTTTAATATTATCAATATTTTTTTTTCTTGTTATATACATATATTGAGATATTAATACTACATTTTAATAAAGTAGGTTTTAATATTCCATAGATGTATTAAATAGTCCTTATACTACTAAATTATAAGTCGGATACTATTTAAAAAGGATAAGTTCTTTACAATATGGCAACACCGATTAGAGGCGAGGTCGCCTATTCATTCATTTATTACATTGTAGTACGCGTCGCACGTGTGCGGTAAAGCTTTGTTGCCGCTATGTCCCCGGCTGTATTAACGCATTTTCTTAGCTTGTAGTCCCTAAGTGTTTATTTTATTTCCTTTTTCTGTTCAAGAACTATAAAATATGGTTCGTCAGTGCCAAATTTGCAAGAAATTTGACTTAAATAATCCATTTAAGTCTTGAAACGACTTTCGACCGGTAGGCAACTCTCAATTTACCCTTTGGGAGTCAGTGGCGTTGCTGTAGAAAGGCGCTTATTTAGAGATTTTAGTAAAATGTAAAATCTGAATTTTTTCTCTTACATAATCATTTATATAAAGGTTTTTGTAACAAAATCATAATTATAATCCTGTGAATAATTAATAATGTTTTTATTAAAAATATATTCCGGTTTATTCTAAAATTATCTTCAGAATCTAAAATAACATACAAGAATTTTAAAATGATATTACATTATGAAACAATATTTTTTAATATACCGGGTTCGTCTCAAAAGTGGCTCACCCCTATAACTTTTTTATTTTTTCAGATCAAAAAAACAGATTTGTATGTTAGTAGGTATATGACATAAATTAGGATTGATTGACGTATTCAATTGTTTTTGGTCTCTTCCTGTTTCACCGGAAATGATAACATCTTTTGATTTTTAAAGACACCCTCGGTATATTGCTACTTTATTCGATAAAAAATGACACTCTGAATAGAATGACATATGAGATGTCAACTTTTGACGACATTGTCGCTTAATCGTATTTTAAATTTCAATCCATTGTCGCTTAATCGTATTTTAAATTTCAATCCATGGTGTTGTTAAAAACAGTAAGTTTTAATCAAGGAGCCTTGGAAAAATAGTTTTGATCGTCTAATAGGTTTTGTGTCTTGTCTAGGCCGGTTAAAAGATGTACAAATCGTATTTTTAATCATATGTCAATTTTTTCAAATAGAACAAGGGTGACTCATTAGCATATTTAAAAAAAGCATTTTTTTATGAATATATTGATACCACATACTTGGTATTTCGAGTCAAATTGTCGTTATGAACCGCGTGTTACAAGTTACAATTACAATAATTAAACCATATGCGTCATTCTATTCAGAGTGTCATTTTCTATCGAATAAAGTAGAAATATACCGAGGGTGCCATTTAAAAATTAAAAGTTATAGTCATTTCCGGTGAAACAGGAAGTGACCAAAAACAATTGAATGCGTCAATCAATCCTAATTTATGTCATATACTAACATACTAAATCTTGTTTTTTTATTTGAAAAAAAAAATTATGGTGATGAGCCACTTTTGGGACGCACCCGGTATAATAAAGACAGTACCGAGTTAAATAAATGTAGTTTTCATTTTATCCACTTCCTATCACCTTCCTTGCTTTAATGGAACAGATTTATGTTTTCTCTAATTTACATAATAAGACATCACTTAACCAGAAAAAAAATTTACAACAATCATGATTTTTTTTCTCTCCCTGTTGCCGATTCTATTATATCTGTAGAATAGATCCTATTTTGATTAATATTAGGAGTTGTAAATGTTTGACTAAAATTAATAATTTATTATTAATTTCAAAAATTGCGTAATTTCGATTATAAAATTTCTTCTAAAACATGTATTTTATTATTTTTATCCTTTTTGGACTCTAAGACGTTTTTTCTAAACTTTTATGTAAAAAAACCTCTCCTAAATCTTAATAAAATATAAAAAAGTTTAAATACGATATATTTTTAATTTAATTATAGATTCATTAAAATAAAAAAATTACCCGGCTATGATACGGAGAGTTCAGGTATACTTGAGAAACAAAAGATAGTGTTGCGTTTCTCGTCAGAGTCGTCAGGGAACGACCGTTACGACAAAGACAACCTATCTATCGCTCGTGTCGCACTCGTTAGAGCCTAAAACAATAACAAGACATTGTCTGACCGCATGTTCCAGCTATTTATGAATGACATGCTCAGTCTATATTTTATTTTAAGTCTATGGTATAGATATAGTGCATATCAAATAAACTGTTAGTCACGTGATTAAGCTTGACCGACACAGTGTTGCCCACTTTACGTATTTTCTTTTAATCAAAATATTTTAGGAAACAAAAATAAATTAATATTAACTATAAAAAGTTATTATTTACATCAACAAAACTCACCTTCTTAACAGCACTTAAGGGACATAAAGGTCCATTACTACCGCTTTCCCGATCAAAATATTCTAATAAAGTTTCGATGAGTTTTTTACGGCTATTAAGCTATCTTGTACACTTCGCGCTAAAAGAGGTTCTAAAAAGAACAATGTTCGACTGCAAAGCCTTCTAGTAAACATTTGTAAGTAAAATTTAAATTCCAGTTAGTTAGCCCAGCGCCGAATATGTCCATGGCTGGCAACAATGAATTTAAAATTCGCGCCCTCGATTACGTAACTAAAAGTTTAACTGATATCAAATATACAGAGAAGACCAGGCTACTAGTAACATAACAAGTTGCCGGACGAATTTACGTTTACCCGTTTTGTGTTCGTACTCGAGATTCACTGTCGGCTGGTCAGGCAGTACCCAGTTGCAGTTGTGCTTGGACGGGTCGGTTATGACCAGCGGTGGATGGGCCATATGGGAAAACGGGAAAATTCCCGGTGGGCCGGTTGGAAAATTCCCGATGGGCCGGTTAAAAAAGATTGATTTAGCAAAAATTAAATAGTTAATCTTCTAACTAAAGTTACGTAAAATTCTTAGTGACTGCCTAACTAACTAACCAATTTGGAACAATATAATCGTTAGTTGCTTTTAAACATAAACACCGATTTGTTAAATAAGTATTGTTAGATGTCTTTCTCTGAGACACTTATAATTTTAATAAACATCTGTTGTTTGTTGTTCCATTTGAAATGTTTTATTATACAAGGTGAGTCTATAAGTACACCTTATTTGTGCTGCTTTGTGCAAATATTTTCAGGGGTAGTAGATATGAATAAAAGAAACATAATAAATTCTCTTTACTGTGTTTCAAATAAGTCCAAAATAACCGAGTTATTAAAGTTTGAATTTAAAAAAAAATATTTATTTTTAAAAAATTTGCCACCTAAATCTTTCTGTATTTGCATCTCCTTTTGTGCCGTAATATCAAAGATTAAGAAACCATACCGTGGGAAAATTTGCGGTGAACAGGAAGTTCTAAAATATACAGGAAAATTTAAAAAAAAAGCCCGATTTTCAACATCTTTTTTTTACAAAAAAAAATCATAGACGTGTTTCTGGGATCGAAATATACCAACCCTGAAAATATTTGCACTTATTTAAGACCCATTCTGTATAGTTTTACCACTATTCTTTTATTAAAACACATTTATATCCACTGCTTAGGTATTGCCTAAGTTTTTTTCGTTTGAGTCATGGCATTATAATACAAGATGCCAAATGTAGAAACTACGAAAAGTTACGTGATGAGAATTATACCAAAATTAAAACACGTATACATGACGAGGTTGCTGCTGTACCAGAAAAGAGAGAATTTCTTTCTACAATCTGTAAGAAAGTATATACCTGAAAAGATAAAAATAATGTATTTCACAGAGGATTGGGCCAGCTGAACTGAATGAATCAGGAAGTCTTAAAGTTTCTCAAAACCGTGATTCAAAATCGTAGCATATTCAAGATCAAATTACCGTTATCGATAATGGAAATAAAACAGTAGAACCCTGTGAAACTGAGCTATTTTCTAGTAAAAATTCAGATGTCCGACCCGATATTGATCTTTATAAAAATTTTGATCAAGACAATTTCAATATTTTTAAAAAAATCGGAGGCAAAAGAGATTTTTTCGCCTGAGCAAAAATCACCCTTCCTTGGGGTGATTTGACCCTTACCCAGGGTGTCCCAGAAATAAGTACAAGTATTTTAAGGGGGGTAGATTTGGTCAAAAGAAACATTTTACCGTTTTTCAAGTAAGTCTAAAATAACCGAGTTATTTTACTTTGAAAATTTAAACAAAAAATGCCTTTTTGCTTAAATTTTGAGAACCACTGGATCTTTTCTGTATTTTCTTTCATGTAAATTTAAAAAAAAATCCAAATTTGCAAAAAAAAACTGATAGGCGTGTTTCTGAGGCCGAAATATACTACTAGTTAAGATACTTGCACTTATTTCTGGGACACCTTGTATATTAATAAATAAAATATGTTTCTTCGTTAGGGTAATTTTGTTTCTGTGGATTCGGACCAGTTGCCTGTTATTCATGGGCCGGTTTCCACTTCCCCATTCACCCCTGGTTATGACAGACTAGGAATACGACGCGAGGAGTGCCGAGTATTTATTATTTTCATTTTAAGTGTTTACCTTCACTTAAGGTAACATTTAAAATGAAAATACTTAAATATTTATTATTTGAGTGTGTTTACAAGCCAAAACTAAAAATAAATAAATTCTCTAAACCCAAAAAAAAAACAAAATATTACTCTAAATAAAAAAAGTTATAACAAGTGTTCAAAAAGACCATCTTCTTATGCTAGACAGAAGCCTAGGCGGTCGTAAAATCCCTGTCTGACATTCTGAACATATTATGGCTAATAGTTTGGAAAGCCTCTCGTATTTTTACTTGAAGCTCATCCAGATTATTAGCCCTATTATGACCATACACTTTGGATTTTACATAACCCCACAAAAATAAATCTGGTGATCTAGCGGGCCACAAAATAGTTCCATATCCACTAATTAAACGAAAGTTGGGAAAAGTATTGTTCAAATATTCTTGAACAATACGGGCATTGTGGGCAGGACAACCACCTCAGCAATTTGATTACTTGAAAACGTGGGATTTTGATCCACGGTAGCACAAAAGAACACTTGCTTTAACTCCTGTTCTTCATTAATCAACAAATCAGGATTTTTGTGTTTTTGTGGGAACACACACCCATGTCTTTCAAAATTATTAATAACTCTTGATACAGTAGGTAAAGATGGAATTGGCCTGTTTACAATAGTTTGTGGAAAAATTGTTTGTATATCCCGATAAGACCTATTTTGGAAATACCATTTTACAATTTGAATTTTCTCACGAACTTCGTAAACATCCATTATTTTACTTAAAAAATAAATTTTACACGAGAACTGTCGCGAGAATCTATGTATTCGTTTTGGCTATTACAAACATTTTCATTAAAACACGAATAAATACAAATTCTGAAACATTCTTATCACATATCTACCTATTTTTATTTTATGGCATTTTTTCGCCTGCTTTTTATCTGGCGGACGGGTATACGCTAATTCGTCCGGTTCTGCCTATGTTACTACTACGGTGGTCCGGTCTGTATATGAAGTATGAATGACAATAGATCAAGAAGTCAACAAGCATCAATGCCAATGAAAAGAAATTCTAACAAATTTTTATTTAGAATTAAAAGAAAACTAAAAGTAAATAAAAAAGGAAAAAATATATACATATAATTAAAGAAAATCAACTTTCTACATTTTACCAATAAATAATACAAGATTCTATCACACTATTCAAAATTTGTAATAACTTAGTGAAAACATTTCTTAACCGAGAAATCTTTTTGCTTGTATGTTCTACATACCGCCCATCAAAAAAGATTACAGATCCAAGACAAGTACAAGTTGCTTCGTCCTCTCGTTAAAAAGGTGAACGACGTGAGCAAAGAACAGAAACACTGGGGCCAGGAGGTAAAGAAGCTTCAGGAGCAGCTGCTGGAGGCCGAGAACAAATATCGGGAGGCCCAAAAAAATGTAGGGAGCTGCATCAAGGACTTGGTTAATAGGAAACTTAAAATTGATAGGAGGTTAGTTCAAAATTGGATAAACCTTGGACAACGTGTATAAAAAGATAGACTAACTAATACGCATTTCTTTGTTTTGACACAACATATACAAACAAAATGTAAACATGCCGTTTGTTTATGTATAGTTTGGTTTTACCACGTACTTATTGTAATTTTTGTTTCAAGATTTGATAAGGTCATTGCTGTAGTTTCATGGTCTTCATATAAACAGAAAAATAATGTTTAAAAATTGGATATAGGAAAATCAATAAAAGTTGGCGTGTACGTCCTCAAAATCTTTGACGAATGTAGATCGCAATGTTGCCATGGCTACTTTTTTTAATTTGACTTTTGACAAATGTAAAATAGAAGGCGTAACTTTGTCGCCGATTTTTCACTTCAATTTTAGACATAATGCACATACAATTTTTTTTATATCTACATTATTACTTTGTCTATGATTACTACACAAACAAATTCCAATTAAATGATCAAAAACTCTGAATTAAATTTAAAATGACAAATATCAGATTTGCAAAGAAAAATATCATGACAACTGGCAACATTTGCCATAACTATCAACATAAGGCTTTTTTTATGGGCCAATTCGTTCATTTGATGTGACAGCGTGCTGTCTTTTTTTAACCATAATATAAGATTATAAGAAAAAGGAAAAAGTGTGCTCTTAAGTTTCAAACGATTTTTTTTATTACAAGTTTAATTTGATAATAGTTTCAACTAGAGATGAACAAAACTGCTATTTTCCAATCGCAATTGACACTGCGATTGCGATTTTTAAATCGCTGCCACTGTAACATGCGATTGCGATTTTAATATGTAAATAATATAATTAATTGTCTGTATCAGTTTTTTTAACATCTGCAACACATATTATAAGTATTAAAACTTTATATATGCTGCGACTATACAGGGTGCTAGAGCCACAATCACAAAACACATACACAAGGAGAAGTGCGAGCGCCTTGCTAAATATTGGAAAGTGAAATGACGTTTAAATTTGACACTGTTGACAAGTCTACTGCTACTAGCGCCCCCAATAACGCTTGTAGGAACTACGGACTAGATTGTCACGCATGGCGGGAAGTTTAAAAAAATAAAAATTTTTAATTCTTCATTTATTTTTAATTATGACATAGATAAAAACACAAAAAATACACCATTTTTTAAAAATATGTTTAATATTAATGTCAAATATACAACAGAAATTAATTTCACCACAATAAATTAATAAAATTAAAATAATAATGTTACAAGTAGAGACAAAATTAATTATAACAAAACTGAAAAAAATGGCGTCATAGATGGCTTAGAAATGAAGATATATATATCATAATTTTTGTATTAAATTTACAAAGCAAACTGCAGCGTGACAAAAGAAATAAAATGGCAACAAGTCAACGTCAACGACCCGACAAGGAGAAAAGTGGTGTTCGAATAACAAATTATGGGTCACCACAAATTGTTTTTGTCTCCTTTCAACGCACACTTTAGAAAGAAAAAGAGATGAACTGTTATACTGAAAGAATGTCAAGGTTTTATCTTGTCACTCTTGTCAATAATTTATCGGTAAGGAAGATTCCTAGAAAATCGCTTGTAGTCAAGTTTTCAACCATTGCCAGTTCTCCCATAAGAAGTGTCATCCCCCTGGCCACAATAGGCCCTCGCGGCCGCAGTGGAGGGTCCCACCTGGGATCCACTCTTAGTCAATACGATACAATACAGGGTGCCGGAAATTCGAGGTACGAGCAAGCGATTATTCAAATTCACAATAAAAAAGTTAAAAACAATATCTTTAAATTGCTGACGTGAATATTATTTATTTGAATATTCCAATTAGCTCGATTTTCCTCATTCAATGTTAATTAGTGCTGATCAATATTGTTGCGATGAATATAATCCGATAAAATAATTTAAAAAACCTCAGAATCGAACTTGAAATTATTTTAAATAATAATTAAATAGTTTCGTTATTGTTAAGGTACTCAAAACAAAAAGAAGTATAAAGTGTGGCATATCATTGTACTCAGAAGGCCGAATTCTTTCAAAACCTGACAAAATATGCTGGTCCGTATTTAAAAAAAAAGAAGTTGGCCTCTGTATCTTACAAATTATGAGCTAATTTGAAATTCTAAACATACTATCAGATAGCCCTAATAAAGTGGCTATGAGAATGTGCAATTAGTTTCTCGATTTTCTAAAAGGAAAAAATAAAATTGGTTTTCAAAAAAAAATCCGTTTTCCAAAAATCTCATCAATCCTTGAAATTTTTAAAACTTTTTTGATGGCATCTTGGTGGACATCCCAAAGCGCAACTTTGTCCCAATTTAACCATGTTCCTATCTTTTACCGTTACCAAGATACCAGTAGTACCTAGAGTTGTAGCACCCTGTATATAGCTACTTTTTCTACCCCCAGTTCTCAATTATCTAATTCTTTATCCAATTCTAAAAGAATTACTATTAAGGCAATATTATTATGATCTTGACCCTAAAAAATGTCTTCTCTATAAAAATAAATAATATTAGAGAGAAGATTCAATCGCAGTTTTCTATAAAATGATTCAATAGACCACAATATTACATTTGCAACAAAAATTCAGACTCGCAGATAGAAGGTTAAATCACGGTCCTGGTTTACAAAATCACAATCACAGCAAAATCGCAAATCGCAGCTATAGTAATATTGGTAGCCTAAAAATTGAAACTCGCAAATAGAAGCAATGGCAGTCGCAGTTTCCTATGAAGACCAATCGCAGTTTGCGATTTTTTGCTCATCTCTAGTTTCAACGCTTTTGATAACGTGCATTACAGTCTTTTATTGATTTGTCTATATTTAGATATTATGTTTTGTCTTAAATTTGAACCATCTTTGATTCTTTGTACCCTTGAGTTTGTTTTTAGTCTAGCACAAAAACCGGCAGACAGATGGATCACTTCAACTCCCATAAAACCAAACTTAGTACCGAAACCACCTTCGCTAGAGATAAGTTCCGTTCCTGGAGTACCACTAGAATCCGATGTTACACCAAAAACCCCTAACCAACCCTCTACAGTTGGTACTATGGAAAAAGAAACAATCATTGAAGAAATAGACAAAATTCTTGCCGAAACCAAAGACAAAGATCTTCCACAAACCAAACCAGTTGAAAATAATAAATCGGCTGAGAACCATGACATAACGATCGTTCGCGATCCCAATGACGTAGATGACGTCATCAGGAAAACGAAACAGCAACTGGCGGAAATGGATATTAAGAGAGATATCATGTTGAAGAAGTCTGAAAAAATGAAATATGTCTCGCCTTTGGATGTTATAAAAAGGTAGGTTAGAAAATTGAACGACACAAGGTTTATGAGCTTCCAGGGTTAAATTCATTAGATCTTCAGCAAAATAAAACCACAGATTAGGTATACTATATGTATACAGATAAAAATCTTATCCCTAATTCGTGGTACGAAAATTGTTTTTTATGACGATGTGTAAACGAGTAAAATTTCCTGTGCGCAAAAATAAACTCGCGTAAAATAACAATAAACAGCGTAGTAGAGAGATATCGCTAAACCAAATAACGTGCATGGACGTTAATAAGGCCAGGTGTTATTTCCTTTACGTGAGGTGGTATTAACTCTCTTCATTTATAGTTATCGGATCGGAAAGCATTCTGTTCGCGTCGCGTCCGCTATTTAAACTTAACCTAACGTTGAACTTAAAACATTGAAATTGTTTTGTTTACTAGGTATTTTAAAACTAAAGGGCTTATTTCCAGTGCTTTATTGTTCAACGTCTGCCAGTGGGTTTAGGGCAACAAGCAACAAATTCTCTTAGAAGGGCTAAGTCGTCATCTGCTGTAAACCTAAGCCTCTTTATAGGTTCTTTAATATTGGAAGAGGTGGAATCCATGGTACAAAGAATACAAGGTATGATCGATAGCGGCTCCAATTTCGTTCAGTTCGCGCATACCACCTGTGACGTCACCAGGAAAATAATGAATAAATAAAAAATAAAGAAAGTTGACAGGAGATCTGCATTTTTTGGGGTTATGGTTAAGAATTGTTTATTTTTAAGACTTTTTAGTTCGTTTAATTTAATAATTACTAAAACCAGCAGTTCCAAAAATATATTTAAAAATAATAATTATCTATTAACATGGATTTGGACGATAGGTAAGAATACTGAATTTATTTCTATATTCGGTATAAAATTGTTTATTAGGTTTTTAGTTTGCGATGTTTATGGTAAATAATTTTCATTTTCATTGCCTCTGAATTCACATGAGGACAGAGTTGAGGATATCTATGGAAAAGTAACCACAAGAGGAATTGTTACATCATTTAAAAAATATTGGGAAGTTTATTGTTTCCCATCGAAAAGTAGAAAATGCCAATGCAGATGAACGTATTGTAATTGTGATAGAAGTAATTCTAAGGGTGAAGTTTATTATAATTAGTGGAAGTAATACCAAGGGTGAAGTTTATTATAATTAGTGACCTCTGCTTCTTTTTATATGTAGAAGTTTCTGGTTTTGAGAATAAATCGGTTGAACGACACCCAAAATTTAAAGGAAGTATTTGCATACCCAGAATATGCCCATCAAGGATTATATAGCTCAAATTTCCTTTAATGGTAGGCAATTATTCAATGCAAATTAACTTTTTAAGTGACTGAAATATTAAATAGTTTACAATATGGTATATCACTAAAAATATATTACTTTTAGGTACAATTAGGGCCCGATACATTTCAAAAAGTAGAATATTATTTTATATTAAATGAGGTATTGTACTAACAATCAATTTATATTAATAACGGAGATTAAAAAATAACGGAATAAATAGTTCTTTTTTTTATACTACAAAAATAAACTATAGAATACAACAGTATTTAAAAAAATAAATAAAAAGTTATGTCCCGGCCGAGATTCGAACTCGGGTCTCTCGCTTCCTAGCCCGACTCCTTACGCACTGCTCCACAGTAACTTGCTTAGCGATAATTCAATGACGGTATATAAACAAAAAAACATGTTTATAACAATATCTTGACGATTTGAACTGGCGCGCGGAGCGTGTTGACCAATAGCGCCTGTTATCACCTGTGACGTAGCGACCAACCTGCGCAATATCATACCTTGTATTCTTTGTACCATGGGTGGAATCCATATTTTGGGCCATATTTATTTAATTAAAACTAATCCTAGCTACTTAAATATAAAATTACCTAATAAAACTAAAGTAATAATTCAAAACAATTGAAACATAACCTAAAATAAAAGACCTCGCCGGCCGGCCCCTGTTGTCAAATACCCGCACATGCCCGTTTAAGCAATTTCTAAACGTTATTTAGAAATAGCGCTTGGTGTAATTGATCCGCAAATTACGTCAGGCGCTAACGTTATTAGCGGGTGTTGCGTTAAAAATTGACTCGCGCATATCGTAACCATGATAAGGTACGCGTAAATACTGCATGACGCTATTCGGTTTTCCGATATCTCTCTAATAACTGTGCTGGTCAGGCGCTGTGCACAATTTTAGAGGCCATAAGTGGGCATGCTATGTGCGCAAACTAGTACCCGATTCCGAAAATTGGAACCACGAAAAACAATAATGAAAAAACAAAGTTTGTAATCTGTATAATCTATGATATTATATGCTCTACTATATCTTAATTGAGACAAATGTTCATTAAATTTAGTCAATATTGATTTTCTAACTTTCCCAACATATTTTTGATTACAATCCTTACATGAAATTTCATAAATACCCGACCTTTCCAGTGGAGGTGTTTTTTTGTCTTAGGTTACTTATTTTTTGACATTCATATTAAACCATGGGTTAACTCTCTATCAAACGGTATGTTCGTCTACTTGAAAAGTCGAATTTGCAAAAATCGTAAATTTGTACCCGTACCGGATGTTCCATTAAGAATAGCTCTCGAATCTCGGAAAGTATTAGCTATAATACGTTAGCCATAGAGCCTGCTGGAAAAAACAGTTAAAACTAAAGAGGTCATGAGAAATTTCTGGAAATTATTTTCAAGTTTGTAGAACAGCCTTTAGAAGGCATAACTGCTATGGCAAATAAGAAAAGAGTTTTTTTACAAAATTGGCTGGATAACGGATAGTACTAAAAATAATGGTGTCGTAATCTTAATAAAATTTCGGATTTTTTATGTTTAAACAGTTTTGCCCTATCTGCTAAAATGAAGTGGTGAGAAAAGGTTAGATCTCAGCAAAATAGTAATATGTAAGTACGAAAAAATATGCTCTTAACTACCTTATTTTTAAAACAGTATCAGAAGCGCCCTTGATTATATCCATTCTAATAAAACATACCCCTAAAATAGAAACGTTTAATTTATTTTAATATCTATAAAGCATAATAATATATCACAATACCATTATGCCAGATGGAATAATAACTAATAATGATTCCAAGGACAGTGATCGAGAAACGAAAACGATTATAGTCTCTTTGGTAATATTATTTTTCGTAGGCTCTACGGCTATTATACTATAGTCAAGAGCCATTCTTAATGGGACAACACTTGTACATACTGTACAAAGAGTAGTATGAAACCTACAGTATGTCCTCCGATCTTTACAAGAAGAAAAACTTTTTTATTATTGACATTTTGAGAAAAAGGCATAGTCCATAATAATGTTTGCTTGTTACTGGTTAATCCCGTTTATAGTTTCCCAAATTTCCATACTGTTTTAAAGAAAATTAAAAAAAATATATGAAAATATAGTTTTTTCGAAGTCTTAAAAATCAAGAGGCGTTTTTGTGGTAATATAATTTCGATTTCATTCTTTCATAGATTGTTATTGAGAGAATTTTAATTAACATCATATTTTTTCCTGTTTTAAAATGCTAAAGAATCACAAAATTTATTTGGTTCGATGCTACGGAAAGGGTGAAACTAGTTATCGGAAAATGTGATACAGAAAAATGTGATTCTCCAAATGTCAATAACAAAAAAGTTTTTCCTCTTATAAAGACAATTCGGGGACATATTGTATATAACAAAATATGAAAAAATATTAAAGAAAAAAGTTTATAAGTATGCGAACTTTGAGGAGTATACACAAACTTTAAAAAACTAACCAACAAAATTCTATGTAGTACCTAATAAGAGATTAATTTTTTCAATTTTTAGAACGCAAACTTTAGATCCCTACGTTGAAATGTGTCCCTACGAAGTATATGGAACCTGTAAAGACGCTGAATGTTTTTACAATCATCTTCCGAAATAAAGTGATTTTAAAAAAAATGACAGATCAAGAATAAATGTGATACTTTTTATCTAATAAGGCGCTACTCGGGCTATTTTAAGACATTTATTATTATCACACGCAATCAAAAAAGGCAATATTGCTTAAAATTATATATTTTACTTCTATCTTAATATTAAGTTTTTTCTTTAAAGTACAAATTCGTTTTGCCATTATTTTTATTATTATTTTTCGACATACATATACATAGATTACCTTAAACCAAAGTGAGTTTACTCTAAATCTCATCAATAATTAGAATTATATTTCTTATTATCTTTAATAGTTGTTATTGTGTATATGCCATGTGTTTTAATATTATTTAATAAAATATATTTTTTCTTAAATAAAAACAAGATTATTCATATTTGAGTTGTTTAATTTAAATCCTTTTAAATCTTCACAATATACCATCCTGGACACTTCATCTGCGTGGTCTGTATTGTAACGCATGCGACAGAGATAAATATAAATGACCAGTTGACAGACAGAGAGAAAAAAAGCGGCACACAGTGTTGCCGGTTTTTACCTGTGTAGAAAAATGTGTATGTAGAAAAAAATAAAAGTATTTTAAAAACTTCCATGTACAGGGTGGGTCAAATTCGACGCTTTTAAATGGAAACACCCTTTTTTCTATAGGAGATAGACAAAAACTAATATCGGTGTCTGGAGCTCAATTTTTGTCAAGAACATGATGGCGAAAACCGCATATCGATATCTGTTATAGTGATGAGCCAAACCGTGATTTTCTGTTCACAGGCTTACCTGTGACAGCGACTTTGTATTATCTGTGACTCTTAACTGTGACTGCCACTTTATGATTATGAATCCGAAAGCACAATCACGGCTAAAATATAAGATACGATACGAATGATACGATTCTGTTGTTGTTATACTAATTTTTATTTGTCCTTTATCCAAGGCCGCTGAAATAGAAAACACTAAACAGTGGGTAAAAGGTATATTAAAAAATAAAAATAAAACAATTTTTTTTATTTAAAGAAACCAACGGGAAAAGAATAAAATATGCAATATGCTCATAACCATAACGAACGAAACTTAACAACACGAGATAAGTAATACATTAAACAACAAATATTTTCCTTTGTATTAAAATAAACGATATATAAAAAATGAAGTTTCTAAAAAAATAAACAGTATAAAGGTAAAACTTTATATGTTTGGCTTTAAAAAAACCTGCTAAACTAAAAAGGAACCAAACCGATTCGTAGTGATAAAAAATAGTAATAAAATATAAAATACATAAAAAATTAAATCACTTCTAACAGTCACTGTCTTTAGATCACTTTGTCAGATATCTATCCTATCAGACGTACGTCGTGACTCGTGACTGTGAACTGAGTCACGACCGGCGCCATCAGCAGCTGCGTTCACGACGCGCGACGTCCCGCTCTGTGAAGTATTTTCTCGTTACCAGAGAAATCACAATTAACTGTAATCGTCACGCTTTAGCAAGTCACCGTTTATTTTCAAATCAGTCACAGGCCGTGACTGTGATTATAGAATATCAGTGACAAAGTCACAGTTACCGATATTTCACTCATCACTAATCTGTTACCGTTTCGGAGTTACGGGGTGTTTTTCAAAAATATGCATTTTTAACAAATCGCCGTAACTTTTTTGCTATGGAAAATTTTGTATTTTTATGAAAACATTTCCAACTCACCTTTTTACGTAGAATTTAATGGTTTAAGTATACTTTTTTTTAAATTAATAATTTAAGAATTATCAACAGAAAATTTGATTTTTTATATGGGACACCTTATATATTTTTAATTTATTGAAAAGAATTTAAAATTACCTTTCCAAAAATATAACACACTTGATATTTTCCTCGATTCCTTTTCGAGATATAGAGTTTATAAAAATTCGCCCGCTTTAAATAAGTAGGCTTTGAACGGCACCGGCTGTAATGCAAAAAAATTCTAGCTGTGAGGACAATTAAAACGAAAATAATATTTGCTATGAGAGATGCAGAATTTTATGACAATTTAAAATATATTTAACCAACATCAACACATTTAAACTATATCTAATAACAATAAAAATAAATAACAAACCAAGACATGAGATTTTGCTACAATAGGTATTCGACATATCGACCGTCTTCTGTTATGGACAGACGGAGCAGTTTTTGAACATTTCTCGCGGAATTCATTAACTCAGTGGAGGTGAAAGATACCCTCTCATAACTGCTAAGTATTTCTAATTATTCTTGTCTAGATTAAACGGAAGAATAAGGAATCTTTATTCTTCCGCAAATATATCCATTGGATTAGATCCATGGGCACTAAGTCAGGCGGCCTCTCGACGGCCAACGGCTGGGATTTCGGTTAGCTATTCAATTATTCTTGAAATTGGCTGCAAAATTTTGCTGATAACTTCAGCGTCCGTCGTCTTGCTGGAAAAATATGTTTTCGAGTTTCATTAAGGGCATATAGTCAATAAGGGGTCCAACGCCTAGTAGTTAAAAGTGGCGAACTTTTAAAAATTCTGTATTTCGAAGGGGATTATAACAAAATATCAAGCGTGCTATAATTTTGGAAAGGTAATTTTAAATTCTTTTCAGTTAATTAAAAATATAGAGGGTGTCCCAAATAAAAAATCAATTTTTCTGTTAATAACTCTTAAATTATTAATTTTAAAAAAATTATACTTAAACCATTAAATTCTACGTAAAAAGGTGCTTTGGAAATGTTTTCATAGAAATAGAAAATTTTCCATAGCAAAAAAGTTACAGCGATTTGTTAAAAATGCACATTTTTGAAAAACACCCCGTAACTCCGAAACGGTAACAGATATTGATGTGCGGTTTTCACCATCATGTGTTTGATGAAAATTGCTCCAGACACCGATATTAATTTTCGTCTATCTCCTATAGAAAAGGGTGTTTCCATTTAAAAGCTTGGAATTTGGCTATTGAAATGAAGATAATATATCTAAGCTAAATATAATATATTACAGCTGTAGCAAAGAGTAGATAAGACAAGAGACGACAGTTCGCGCGGTACCTTTCATGTTTGAGTGGTGGGGAGAGTGACCTCGTCTCGCTTGTCCCTTTAAATTTTCGTAATTTTTTCGCGGGAAATTTGAAATAGACTATTATTAAAACTTGCCTGTATAGCTTATAAATAGTTACTGTATGGGTAAAGAAATAAATAGAAACGAAAAAAAAATGAGTTTTCTAAATATTATATAACATAAATTATAATTAGAAACATATTTGTCGGGGAATAAAGATAATAAAAGCAATATTTTGTATATCGTTGGTAAACAAGATAAAGTGACCAAGTCGATTTGTAAGAAATGTTTTATTTACGTGTATTTTTTTTGCATATGGATTTGAACAAGTGTAAAATCACAATGTGGAGTTTATGTACAAGAAAATAGAGTTGCTCAATTTTTTTTGTAAAAATATATTACAAGCTTCTAACCATGTCTTCGATCTATGGATTACATTTAGTTTATTAACATAATTATATAGTATATTTCTATAAAATACTTTTCAGGATCCTTTGGGAAAGAGTGAACTAGGTAAAGGTGTGGATCCGGTGGCTGACCTTGAAGCCCATATTTGCTGCTTTTGATCATCGATACTACGCAAGCGCACATCGTCGATGTTGCCAAATTGCAGTATATTTTCGAATTATTTGCAGTTGAAAATTTTTTTTTGCGTGTTAATAATAATACAAATTCTATAATTTCAGATTTATCTTGATATCCAAAATTAAGGTAAGAAGGATAATGAAGATTGTGAAATGAAAGTATTATAATATATAAAATTGTAATAATAATAACATTTATTTATATGTTTACATTTGAATTAAAATTTATCATTTACGGATTTTTTCTTAATGGTTTTAAACTTATTAGAATTATTTTATTTCTTTCAAGTTATTTAATTTCTAGTTATTTACAGGCAACAATATTTTTGATTATATGCATGTATTGATGTTTTGAAGTACTACCATGACGGGTCTTATTATAGAACAATAAACGTCAATCGGAGATAGAGGTAACATTTTACCTATTATATAATGTTACTAATATAATATACTTTGATTATAATTAATGTTTGTATCATAATTTCTTAAAAATATCAAGCATAGATATCAAGTTAGTGGATTTTATCGAAGAGTGTGTTGATAAGACTAAAATAAGCTTTATGTTTTATCTTTTTCTCTTTAGAAGGGAGATGGTTTGTATCGTAAAATACATTACAGTATTTAATATCGTGTACTTTGTTATTCTTTTCTTAATTTACTGTAATTTCTTGTTTCCTATAATGCCAAATCTTGACAATATGGTGAAGGTTGAGTTTTGATCTTATTAGTTTTATAAGAATAATAATAATAATAGAAATACAAGACTAAATTAAGACTTAGTTTGTGATTTATATTAAGATCTTTCTTATAATATTTGTTATGTCTTCATCTTAATACTATATTATGCTTGGTCTGGAAAATAAATGTTAAAATATCTTAATTTTGCATATCCTATTCATCCTTCCATTAGGAAAAATATGGTTTATAAATCATATATACTAAGAAAATCACATAAATTAGGTGTAAGAATAGAGAAATCTTAATGTAGCAGAAAAATTAATGCAATATATGTATAGGCAGGATTAAACAAGGTAACTGTTAATGTTGCTGAAGCTGATTCTACAATTTTAATTACGGAGGCTAAAAGGCCTTTTAAGGCCTCCGTAGTTTTGATGGAATGTTAAAAAAATCTATTATGAACATAACATGGAGCTACAGCATTTAAAAATTAAAAAAAAAGAAAAAATTTGGACACATCCCTTTTAATTTCCCGAATTTTTAATAAAGCACTTTTTAAACGTAGCATAATAATCTAGATAGGAATCTAGAGTTTTATTTCTATATAATTTTATTGACTGAAAATACATAATAAGTGTTCACGTGTTGTGCGAAATATTAAAATAATATACCGCGTACTATGATTG